CGACTTCGACTCGAAGATGACTTGAGACTGAAGCTGACCAAAAAGCGACCAGATTTTACAAAGTTGTGCAAAGATAATCGTGCACATTTGTCACATTAAAATTAAATAACCTTATGCTATTTTCATTATTATTAGAATTGTATTTTAAAGGTAATAAATGTAAAAAAAACTTATTCTAATTATCACTATTTGTCTACCCACAGCCCGCATTATATCGAATTTTCTCGTGGGAGTAAGATATTTTCTCGCAGTAAAATGTAGCCTATGTCCATCTCCAACATGTAAGCTATCTCTGTGCCAAATTGTATTAAAACCTGTTCAGCGGTTTAGACGTGAAAAAATGACAGACGGACAAAATTACCTTCAAATTTATAATATTAGTATGGATTAATATGTATTTCTCCTATAAGTAGTACACGAGTTTGAGCTCTTTCTTGAAGTGGTACGCAGGAAAAACTAATTGGGAATCACTGCTCTACTGTATATAAAACAAAATAGCTAAACACCAGATTTTCTTAGTTATAATTAGTTTCTTTAAAGTCTAAACTAAGTACATTCATTTGATCATTTGTTTAATAATATAATGAAATAACATTTTAATTATTTAACTGAAAATTGAATTTTCAGTATTAGTACAATTATATCTTAATTTTAATTATAATATATAACTGAATATTTTTTAAATTCACTATTAATTTATGATTAACAAAAAGTAAATTAAGCATTTTGAAAAAATTCTTGAAGTGAAAATATTTGTAAATAAATATACTTAAGTGTATCAGAATAAAAATAATAAAAATTTGAAACGTTTTCAGAGGGTGTTTTAGAAGATTATGTCACTGAAGGTATTGACAGAAAAGATGTCTTCTTTTATCAGGTGATTTTACATTAAATTTTTTAAGATGAGCAATTTATTCAATCTTTATTACAGAAGAAATTTTCCGAATTCTGAAATACAGTAGAGCATCATTTATCCGAAATGTCGGTTAATCGAAAGCATTTCAGTCGGCAAATTTAAATTTTTGCTAGTGCTGTGGCAATGCAATCTTTGGCTATATCTTGGGCTACTCCAATATTTTTTTTTGTTGGTGTGTGTTTTTCTGAGGACTGTGTGTGGTGCTGAATCGAACGTTTTTGATACTATATCAACTTCTAAAGTATATATTTTTTGGTTTTTATATTTTTCAATATATTTATTTCGTTTGTAAAAAATAAAGAAATAATTTATAACGATACAATAGCCACGATTATTATTTTAAAAAGTTTATGTTAAGCTTAACATCGACAAAAATTCAACGCGAAGCAACACGCAACGGAGAAAAATTTCAACGTGGGATAGGTTAATATATTTTTTCGTACATAATCGATTATCCTAAAAATAAGTTATTCAAACAACCCCAGTCCCCAATTGATTCGGATAAACGATGCTCTACTGTAAGTTATTCTGTAAATAATGTAATTTTTAAATATTGTTTTTAACAAATAAAAATAATCAAAATGACTTTTAATTTCTCATTTCTAGGCAGATGATGAACATTATATTCCCAGAGCAGTTTTACTAGATCTTGAACCACGTGTTATTCATACAATAATGACTTCGCCTTATGCAAAATTATATAACCCTGAAAATATATATTTATCGAAAGCAGGAGGTGGTGCAGGAAATAATTGGGCAGTTGGTTACACACAGGTAAGTAATAACAGTAATGTTTAAAATTTTATGTTATTGGAAAACAATGCTTGAAATTGAAAATTAATGATAATATATTTTTTAATATTTTGATATCTCTTGCATGTATATTTGAGACAGTGACATTTAAATGAATATTCTAAGAGTACATTGCAGCCTTGTAACAAGTAATCCAAAATCAATGAATTATTAGAGTACATTGCAGCCTTGTAACAAGTAATCCAAAATCAATGAATTATTAGTTTTTCACATAGAGGTTTTCTATAATAGGATCTCTGGAATGGATTTATATTGTAAAGTGGGGTTCCACTGTATTTTAATTCCGTAGTAATTAGATAGTAAATTTTGAATTTGAATTGTTCTGCTGCAATTTTAAAAAATTGTAGACCTATAAATTCCCACTATCATCCATCTGTTTATCTGTCTTTCTTTAATCTTGAGAATGGCGTTAGACAGATGAAAGACAAGACCAGATATGAAAACCTTGGGGCACGATGCCCCGATTAACTATATATGAACTTCCGATGCAAACCAGAAGTCATGTTATTTCAGTTCAAAAATTTTCCTCTGAAAGCTGTTAACAGATGATTGGCACAACTCTATTGTTAAAGGAAAAGTATGATGTATAGGGGCAAACCATAACTAATTTGAGATGAAGAGCATATACTGTATTTACTCACATTAAGACGAGGTTTTTATTCATTTTTCACTGCTTCAAAACCTAGGTTGTCCTATGCACACGAGCAAAGGATTCTTTGCATTTTTGTAATGATTTTTGTGAACTGTGTATTCACATTTTCTACTGGATGCTCACCCTCTGGTGTTTAAAAACAGAAGTATTTTATCTGGGTTGTTTGAATTGTTCTTGTTTATTGTCAGGAGTAAAGATGAATAACAATAGGAAAAGCAAAGCTTTTGAATTGAATTCCAAAATCATACAGGAACTTGATATAAGTTTTAATCCATTCCCATGTGAAAACAGATGATTATTCGGAATTCGGAGAAACTCTTAAGTGTAATTGATGGAGAGTGGATTTGCCTGTTAAGAATTGGCAAAAAAAGTTCCCAATTGTCCAGCTTTACATGAACAAATTTTGTTGTTGATTTTATAAGATTTTCCTTAAAATTAAAATGCCAGTAATTTTTGCAGGACAATGTGTGGTCATTTATCTGCATTTGATATTTTGTGATTAAACGAAATAAAATTAGAATTGTATTAATAAGTCTAATTTTCTTTATTTTGATCTTTAAAGTCACACCTCGTCCTATATGCAAGGTTGTCTTATACACAAGTAAATAAGGTAATTTGATTCAAATAAATTAAAAATATGATTAAAAATTGCAGCCCAACATCGTGACAATGTCACAATAAATAATTGCTCGTTACATATTATTTTTAAACACATTTTATAAAATTTGCATTATTTCACTTTTATTATACAGTCGACCCCCCTATAACGTGCATTCCTATAACGGAAATTCCTATAACGTAGCGAAAAAATTGCAGCAACATTCGTTTAAAGGAGCTCCTAAAACGTTGTCGCTGACTCGTTTCGCGACAAGATTGATAGAATCTGAACCAATAGTGGATGAGCAGCCGAACTACTTTCCTCCGCCCTGCTCCACGCTACGGAGCGGCTAAATTGAGTTTGCTATTGTCTGTACAGTATTATACAGTCGACCCCCCCTATAAGATCATAGATACGTTCCATTCTTTAGGAATCTGATTTCTTATGAGTCCTTCCAATCACAGCCCGACACGTGTGAAGTTTACGGACTTCGGCTGATTGAAAGGTTTTCTTCCATAAAATTAATCAATTCTAGACTAATCCGACTCAACATTTCCAAAATACGTATATTTTTTTGGAAATAATCCATATAAACTACGCTATAAACAAAAAATTGTAGGATTACTTACCGAGTGTGCACCATTCGACATCGCCATTGCTAAAGCTTGTTTTCGTCGCGGAACAGCTCAGCAAACCGCGGCCGATTTCTAACTTATTTTTCTGCGAAAAATTCGCTGAACTTTGTAGACATCATTAATATAAATAATTTTAATCGCCGTTGAATAAGAAATGTTTCTTTCACAAGAAATGTAGAAAATTACATTACTGTATTAGACTTACGGTACCTAATTTACATACTGTACAGACGATAGTTAGCGTAAAATCTCCGTAGTGTGGCGCCACGCGGCGGAAAAAATATATATAATTATAATAAAGTTACAATAAATTAAGTTAATATATAATTATATATACAGTACCTAATTTATATATAATACTGTACAGACGATAGCAAACTCAATTTACCCGCCTAAACTCTCCGTAGTGTGGCACTAGACGGCGGAAAGTAGTTCAGCTGCTCATCCACTATTGGTCCAGATTTAACCAATCTTGTCGCGACATGAGTCGGTGACGACGTTTTAGGAGTCTCTTTATACGAATACTGCCACAATTTTTTCACTACGTTATAGAAATTTCTGTTATAGGAACCCACGTTATAGGGGGTCTACTGTACATATATACTTTCCGCCGTCCAGTGCCACGCTACAGAGAGTTTAGACGAGTAAGTTGAGTTTACTATCGTCTGTACAGTATGTAAATTAGGTACCATAAGTCTAATACAGCACTAATTTTATACATTTCTTGTGAAAGAAACACTTCTTATTCAACGGCCATAAAAATTATTTATATTAATGATGTCTCCAAAGGTCAAGTTATTTTTCTGCGAAAAATTCGTTATCAGAAATTGCGGCCGTCGTTTCGTGTGCTGTTCCGCGATGAAAACCAGCTTTAAGCAACGGCGTAGTCGAACGGTACACACTCGGTAAGTAATCCTATAATTTTTTGTTTATAGCATAGTTTATACGGATTATTCCCAAAAAAAATTATACGTGTTTTGGAAATGTTGAGTGGAATTAGTCAAGAATCGGTTAATTTTATAGAAGAAAACCTTTCAAACAGCCTTAGTCCGTAAACTTCCCACCTATCGGGCGGCGATTGGCTTATGTATTTAATGATTCCTACAATGTAAAATTCGATTAACGTGGAACGTATCTAAGCATTATAGGGGGTCTACTGTATTATAAATATATTACATATGTAATGTAATGTTTACTATTTTTATTTTTATTTTCACAATATATATCAATGAAACAATTAAACCAAGTTCTATTTAAAATAAAATCAATATACATTGTTACAGGAAAATAATAGAATACTTTACATCAGGGTTCGCCAAAGTGGTCAGTATCGACCCCTGGGGGTCGATATAACATTATTGGGGGTTGATTGAAAAATTGAAACTAAAAATTACAACTATAACTATACATATTATTATGTTTTTGAATATCGTTTCAATGAATTTAATAGTACAGCTATCCGTCAACATGTAAAATGGCTACAGATCAAGTTACACAGGATAAACGGAAATTGCCGAATGCTCTGGTTCTTACCTATATAGTACATGTCAATCATCTGCAGCATTTGTAAGCTTGTGTCTGATTTGCAGTATACTGATGTTATTAGCACTTCTACAGCCGTTTTTAAGTTGCTCATTTTTAAGTTAATTCATTTAATTTTAGTATTTCACATATATACAATAAACGTAAAAAATGTAAAATTAAAAGAATTGTATTAAAATAGTAAGAGGGTTTTTTTTTTTTTGCTTGTAACACAAACTTTTTGGTGGGGGTCAATGTGAGGTTTCAAAAAGTTGTAGGGGGTTGACGATCAAAAAAGTTTGGCGACCTCTGCTTTACACAAATAAATTAATTACTAATCTGATTTTTTATAAGATTGTTAATTATTTCAATATACAAGCTTATCATTCTAATATAAAAGACTAGTAGCCCAGGACACCCCCTAGTGGGTGTTCTTTACAAATTCCCATGAGGCACGGTTCCTTTGACTTTTTTTTTCTATCAATATATTCTACAGCTCTGTTAAAGTCCCAATCACGTCATATGGATCTAGATTTCTACCTATTAAACATTCTATAAATACTTTAAAATAGTTTAATTTGTTTATTTACCTTTGCTTGTAAACCTTGATTTTAATTGTATTCGCCACTTTTTCAACAAATTTCCCATGAGTCAATGTGCAACGTTCACTGAGTCACGGGATGTTGTAAACGTGCGGTGCAAGGTTAATCAAGGCATATAATAATTATTTATACCATTCCGTAGTATAAATAATAAATTCATATCAATAATAAATTCCTATTACAAATGAAAATAATTTATTGTTAATTTAAAATGATCACTAGGGCGCCCTAGTGGGCATTTTAGGCATACTGTTACAGACATGACACGACAGTGGCTTATATACAGGGTGTATCAGAATGACGTTTTAAAAATTTTGGGAATTGTAGAGGATGAAATTTTGAACGTTTTGATATAAGGAACCTATAGCCGAAAATGAGATATAAAGTTTCTACAGCACTTTGCACGTTTTATGCAGTCGGTATGCTGAATGAAACAGCAGAATACAGTATTTATGACAAGTTTTATTGACAAAACAGTAGAGTACGATCAAATTGTACATCGAATCTGTGGCTGCACTACTTTAGAGTAAATGTTCAATGTAACGACCACCAACTTCGTTACATAATGTGCAACGACAAACCATGTTTTGTCCGACTCTCTGTAAGATGCCACGCTCCCCTCGGATGGTAAGTGCTGTAAAGATGTGCTCCATAAGCTTATGAACTGTTCTTACAGTCGTTGCGTACACAAGGGACTCACGTTGACTAGCTGTGTGTTTACAGCACAGCGCCGGTGGATGCAAGGGGTGACCTGAAGGATGACAAGCACTAAGTACACAACATCCTGTACATGGGCTCAGTAGAATACTGTAGTTGTGTGTTTACAGTCTTCCATCCGCAGCAATAACATGACGTCAATGGACAGAAGGGTAGATACCAATGCACTTCTTACTGCTGTAGACACTTTAGTTCAAATTTTTGGCTATAGGTTCCTTATATCAAAACATTCAAAATTTCATCCTCTACATTCCCCCAAATTTTTAAAACGTCATTCTGAGACACCCTGTATATAAATTATTCAAATGGCTTTTTTTCATTTGTCAATGCATATAAAAACCTAAAAACAAATTTACGCTAGCATTCATTGTATGTGCAATTCTCTAGGTTTAAAGATAGATACAAAAGTAAAAATAATAAACTAAAAAACCCAGAAGTTATTAATTAATTAATTAAGAGCAATGCAAATTTAAGTTAAAAATTAATAACTAGAGATGCTGTTTTGCATAATGGAAATAAAATGCATAATAACTTCATGGACCCCTGCTACCCAGTATTAACTGATGACTTACATTGAGATTATTCAGAAATCATGAAAATTAACAGTATGAAAATGCATAATTTTTTGAGATTTACATAAATACGAGGTATGCATAGTTCAAGATAAAGTGCAGAAAATTGTGTAATGTTTTTTTAAACCTGTAAAACATTTTTTTTTTTAATAATCAGGAACCCAATAGTACTTGATTATACATTTTTGACGAGTCCATCTGAATAACACATAAATGAAAAAGCATAACTAGAATCTGTCATTCTTTACAAACAAGTCAGATGAAACAATTTGTACACAAGCATGAATGATCATTCATACTTGTGTACAAATTAACTAAATGTTGATTTTAAACATCTTTGAATACAATTTGATTGTAATTTGAAAATAAAAAATCATAATACTGAAAAAGCAAATACAGTAGATAAAATTGTTTTATTTTCATTTATTCTGAATATTTATTAAGTATTTATTCGAGTGCTTATTAAACATGTTTCTAATAAAAAAACCATTGGAATTCAATGACAAATAAAAACTTTATTTACTGTACAGATAGTTATTTATTTATTATATACATTAACATAAAGCCAAAATGGCCAATGATTACTCATTAAACAAAAGAGTAAAGTGAAAAATACAATAAAATACAAAAATTGCAACAGTATGTAATATAATTAGTTTGTGTACAATAATAGTTCTAAATTGATTGTGCATGTCAATTTTCTGAAGAGATTATTTCACATGGGGAACTAGCACAACTTAAAACTGCAGTATCAAAAGGTACAGTACAGTCGATCCCCCTATAAGATCATTGATTTTTCCGTTTTATCTGAATTACATGTTGTACGAGTCACTTAGATTTTACAAATACGTGTGCCGGGCTGTGAACGGCTCACATATTTGTAAAATCTAAGTGACTCGTACAACATGTAATTCAGATAAAACGGAAAAATCAATGATCTTATAGGGGGATCGACTGTACATAAAAATTCTATAGATTTCTGAAAAGTAAGAGGAGAATAATGCTGGAATTGGCCATTTTAGCATTAAAGGCATTTTCAGTGCACTGATATTGATAGAAGTTCAATTGCAAAAAACATTCTAAGACCTGATAGAAATCTCACTGTAGAAAACTTGTGTGTCTACGTGAGACTAACCATTAACTCAAAAGCAGGCAATAGTATTCACACTGATGAGGAGATATATCAGGAAAACTTAATTTAGATTATTCTTCTACAAAAAATTATTTTCAATAATAAATATTGATGAAATTATAATTTTTTTCTTAGAAATTGTTATTGTAAACATATTAAGATATGCACAATTGAGCAAAAAATGCTTAATGTTTTACTCAGTTATATTTGTTCACAATTTTTTTTACAAATTCTTTTCATAAAAGTGAAGGCACTACTGATAACATTAGCATTTAATGATGATAACTATTTATGAAATATAAAGCTTTCATACTTTTTTCAATGTTAAATACATTTTATATATACAGTCAACTCATATTAATATGAATTGCTGGGTGAACAATAGGTTGTTCAATTTCTTGAAAATTCACATTAATGATTTTTATGGTCATGGTCATGGTAGTATAATTTAGGAAGTTAAGGCTTAATAGGTGATCAAAGTCTCTAAATTATAATATGTTGAATTAATTCACTGAATAAAATTAAATAAATTAAATTTATTTAACTGTATTCATAACTTTTTGAGGTGGTTTTTTTTTCTTGAATAAGAATTTGAAACTTTTAAAATGAATTTTTCAATTGAATGTTGTAGAATCTAAAAAAAAATAAAGCATTCAAAGAAACTCTATCACTTTCAAGAAACTTTGCTTAATGCTGTCACATCATAAAGATTGCAGTTTATGCATGAAAAAAGTAGCAGAAATACTTATTCTCCTATCTAATAATTTTTGTATTGTGTTGATTAGGGTTTCTCAAACAGGATCCTGGTTGTTTTTTTAACCNAGACCAAGTATATAATAAATAGGAATAGGCATTATTACTTTTTTTGACAATGTGCCTCCTCATATTGATGTATTTGTTATACTATCAAATTAAAGAAACTTTCCTTATACAAGTCCATGCCCTGCATTGAACAAAACTTCTACTTCTTTATTTCTGGGAAAAAGTGGAAGTCACTGAATGCAAAGTCAGGACTGTAAAAGGATGATGAGATGTTCCCAACAAATTTGGCCACAGAGGATACTGTTGCTGCCTTCATGTGGAGTCTCACATTGTCATCAAGGAGGTGATTTGTGAACTGAGAAAGTCTGGCATCTTGTCAGTTTGTTACAATGCTTGTTGGCATTTATAATTCCACTTTTTAGGAAGTTCAGCAATAACACTCCTTTGGCATCCCAGAACATCAAGAGAAGAATTTTGCATGTTGACCAGCTTACTTGAACATTTTGTTTTTCATTGGGTGCTTTCTTTCTTTGCAGGCAAATTAAAATTGAACTTCAGATTTTGTTTCCTGTCACAGTATGGAAGAGAAATTATCTTTTACCCTATAAGTGCACTGGTTCTGAATATATGGATAAGGAAAACTTACTGTCATGTTCCAAGAAAATGGAAGTCATTTAGACTTCCATTTGAAAAATTTGTATTAAATCTTGAATTATTAAATAAATCTAATGAAATTTGTGTATAGATGATATTAGCCATCTATATATTAAGTCACATTGTCTAGTCTATCAGTTAGTGTTCAAATGATTAAATTAAGAATGAACAATCTATATATTTATTATTATTCTTATTATAATGATATTGATATAAAAATTAATGTGATTTTGTTTAGGGAGAAAAACTTCATGAAGAAATATTTGATATTATTGATAGAGAAGCTGATGGAAGTGATAGTCTGGAGGGTTTTGTTTTATGTCATTCAATTGCGGGAGGTACTGGTTCAGGAATGGGATCTTATATCTTGGAACGTTTAAATGATAGGTATTTTAATTTTTTGCTATTTTTTAATGTAGTTTTAGAGTTAATATTTTTGATGAAATTTTTATGAAACAATGCTGTTATTTAATGTTACATTAACAAGAAGTTCATAAATGTAACTTTCATATTTACAATAAACAATTATCACTCACTTTTTAGAGACATTTTGTGTATTAAAAATGATTTATTCTAATTCTTTAGTTAGGAAATGATGATAATTCAACGCTACTATCATAAATTATTTCAAAAATTACTATCAAAAATTATTTTATCACTATCATTATAAAATAATTTTTTATAACAATAATAATAATTTTTAAAGTAATTGTTTAATTTTATATGGATATTTATTTATCTAATAATGGATTTTAATTTTTAAGTAGATTAAGTAGTGATTTTTTAGCAACTCTGAGATTAGATTTAAACATTTTTTGCTTAACTCTAGTTGACAATTTATTAAAGAGTAATTAGAATTTTTTTTTTATGTGAGTAATTTCTGAATCATTAATAAATTGAATATAAATATATTCAATTATTTCATTTTGTTTGAGTTTTTTTAGATGTTAATTGGAAATGAAAATGTAAATTTATTATTTATTTGTGTTTTGGCTTTTATACTATATTGTAAATTATTTAGCCTTTTTTTTTAATAACAGATTGAATCTTGGGCGTATTTAAACATCAATTAATAAATTATTTTCCTATTGAAAGTTGATATTCTGATATTCATAAATGGAATCCTGATATTCATAAATTTTCACAATATGAAAATTGTATCTAATTAGCAACAAACTATATTTATTTTCTTTTGGTTATTGCAAGATGAAGAAAATGTTTATAATTAAAAAAATTATTTAATGTTACGTAATCTGTAAAATAAGGAAAATCAGATAAAAATCTTGATTTTCATTTTATGTTATTATGAATTAAACAATGGGTATTATGATAAATAAAAAATAGTAATGACAAAAGATTTTATTAAAAAAGGAAGGGGGAAACAGTTCACTTTTATCCTGGATATTTGGGACAAGCAAAAGATTGGAAAATGAGAAACCCTAGTGTTTGTGCTAGTGTTATTTCAATTATTAACTTATGTTTAAGCCTGATTATTGATTAGTATTATTAAAATGGTGGTGATGTAGCTAAAGGGCTNGGGAAACAGTTCACTTTTATCCTGGATATTTGGGACAAGCAAAAGATTGGAAAATGAGAAACCCTAGTGTTTGTGCTAGTGTTATTTCAATTATTAACTTATGTTTAAGCCTGATTATTGATTAGTATTATTAAAATGGTGGTGATGTAGCTAAAGGGCTATCTTATGACTTACATACAGCTCAAAAATAAATACATATTTAGAACAATATTTGTCATAATATAGTTTCTTTTTACCATTATTTAATTTTGCAACATATTTCAACCAAGAAAATAATTTTTTTTACAATGTGGCTACATAAATATGAGTAGTAATCTAAAAATAAGTTTTCTGGGTCTTCTGGTAACAGAAATTTTTATTTTGGAGACCAAGTATATAATAAATAGGAATAGGCATTATTACTTTTTTTGACAATGTGCCTCCTCATATTGATGTATTTGTTATACTATCAAATTAAAGAAACTTTCCTTATACAAGTCCATGCCCTGCATTGAACAAAACTTCTACTTCTTTATTTCTGGGAAAAAGTGGAAGTCACTGAATGCAAAGTCAGGACTGTAAAAGGATGATGAGATGTTCCCAACAAATTTGGCCACAGAGGATACTGTTGCTGCCTTCATGTGGAGTCTCACATTGTCATCAAGGAGGTGATTTGTGAACTGAGAAAGTCTGGCATCTTGTCAGTTTGTTACAATGCTTGTTGGCATTTATAATTCCACTTTTTAGGAAGTTCAGCAATAACACTCCTTTGGCATCCCAGAACATCAAGAGAAGAATTTTGCATGTTGACCAGCTTACTTGAACATTTTGTTTTTCATTGGGTGCTTTCTTTCTTTGCAGGCAAATTAAAATTGAACTTCAGATTTTGTTTCCTGTCACAGTATGGAAGAGAAATTATCTTTTACCCTATAAGTGCACTGGTTCTGAATATATGGATAAGGAAAACTTACTGTCATGTTCCAAGAAAATGGAAGTCATTTAGACTTCCATTTGAAAAATTTGTATTAAATCTTGAATTATTAAATAAATCTAATGAAATTTGTGTATAGATGATATTAGCCATCTATATATTAAGTCACATTGTCTAGTCTATCAGTTAGTGTTCAAATGATTAAATTAAGAATGAACAATCTATATATTTATTATTATTCTTATTATAATGATATTGATATAAAAATTAATGTGATTTTGTTTAGGGAGAAAAACTTCATGAAGAAATATTTGATATTATTGATAGAGAAGCTGATGGAAGTGATAGTCTGGAGGGTTTTGTTTTATGTCATTCAATTGCGGGAGGTACTGGTTCAGGAATGGGATCTTATATCTTGGAACGTTTAAATGATAGGTATTTTAATTTTTTGCTATTTTTTAATGTAGTTTTAGAGTTAATATTTTTGATGAAATTTTTATGAAACAATGCTGTTATTTAATGTTACATTAACAAGAAGTTCATAAATGTAACTTTCATATTTACAATAAACAATTATCACTCACTTTTTAGAGACATTTTGTGTATTAAAAATGATTTATTCTAATTCTTTAGTTAGGAAATGATGATAATTCAACGCTACTATCATAAATTATTTCAAAAATTACTATCAAAAATTATTTTATCACTATCATTATAAAATAATTTTTTATAACAATAATAATAATTTTTAAAGTAATTGTTTAATTTTATATGGATATTTATTTATCTAATAATGGATTTTAATTTTTAAGTAGATTAAGTAGTGATTTTTTAGCAACTCTGAGATTAGATTTAAACATTTTTTGCTTAACTCTAGTTGACAATTTATTAAAGAGTAATTAGAATTTTTTTTTTATGTGAGTAATTTCTGAATCATTAATAAATTGAATATAAATATATTCAATTATTTCATTTTGTTTGAGTTTTTTTAGATGTTAATTGGAAATGAAAATGTAAATTTATTATTTATTTGTGTTTTGGCTTTTATACTATATTGTAAATTATTTAGCCTTTTTTTTTAATAACAGATTGAATCTTGGGCGTATTTAAACATCAATTAATAAATTATTTTCCTATTGAAAGTTGATATTCTGATATTCATAAATGGAATCCTGATATTCATAAATTTTCACAATATGAAAATTGTATCTAATTAGCAACAAACTATATTTATTTTCTTTTGGTTATTGCAAGATGAAGAAAATGTTTATAATTAAAAAAATTATTTAATGTTACGTAATCTGTAAAATAAGGAAAATCAGATAAAAATCTTGATTTTCATTTTATGTTATTATGAATTAAACAATGGGTATTATGATAAATAAAAAATAGTAATGACAAACAATTTTATTAAAAAAGGAAGGGTAAATTAACAATAATTGTGTATAAATAAAATAAAAGTAGCTGACATAATGCATGATATAAACAGTTGCATATGTCAAAGTAAGGATAAAATTATGTATTTGGTGGCAATAGTCTATTTTTGAAGAGGTAAGAAAGTATGAATAAGACTTTGCACTTATAGAGATTCATTTCTAAAGGATCTTATTGCAGTTTAATGAATAGTGACATGTAAGATGATATGTATTCCATAAAATGACAATTAAATTAATTAATAATGAAAAGTTATTTTAATATGGTGTTATAAAATAGCTGATGATTTTACTTAATACAGTGCTTAGATCAAAGTGACCACAGTTTGTATTTTTGAAAAATTTTGTAAAATTGAAAGAAATTAATTTATATTATAGATTTCATACCAAAATTATATATTAAAATTTAATACTTTAATTATTATAAGAAAAATATATATAATAACAAATAATAATAATAATAATAGGCAATATATTATCTTAAGATATAAAATAAAATCCCGCGACAAAAACTGAGGCAATAAAGCTGAATAATTGTTATTTTGAACTTTTTCCAAGTCTTAAAAGTTGGAAAACGATTGGAAATTAATACTTGGTAGCATTCAATTGTGAGCAGTCTTGCAATCACTATTTTATCTAATCATAAAAGCAATTCAGTCATAGAATGATGTTTACAAATAATAATTCCTAATCTCTTGAATTATTTGCTTCTATATTATGTTATATTTTTATTTATAATTTTATATTTTGCTACTTCAAAATCAACAAAATTTACTAATTAAAGAATAAATTAAAAATAAATATTTTACAAGGAGCTTAATAGAAGTTTATTATTTATTTGTGTTTTGGCTTTCATACTATATTGTAAAATTATTTAGCCTGTTTTTAATAACGGACTATTAGATTGAATCTTGGGAGTATTTAAACATTAATTAATAAATTATTTTCCTTTAAAAATTTGACAGATTTCCAAAAAAATTGATAGAAACATATTCAGTTTTTCCTAATCAAGATGAAATAAGTGATGTTGTTGTACAGCCTTACAATTCTTTATTAACTTTGAAGAGATTGACACAAAATGCAGATTGTGTGGTGGTTCTTGATAACACTGCTCTCAATCGCATTGCTGTTGATCGTCTTCATATCCAAAATCCAAGTTTTACCCAAATTAATATGTTGGTAAGAATTGTATTTTTTTTATAATTATTTCTTTTATTAGAAGAAAGATAAATTTATTTTATTAATTTTTATTCTGATGATAATGTTAGGTTTCAACAATCATGTCTGTTAGCACAACTACTCTACGTTATCCAAGTTATATGAATAATGATCTGATTGGTCTTATTGCACCTTTAATACCAACTCCTCGATTACATTTTCTGATGACTGGCTACACACCTTTGACAACAGATCAAGAGGTAGTAGTAAAGTAATACTTATATAATTTTAATATCACATAAACATACATAATTTATATTTTTAATTTCATTGAAAGACTGCAAGTGTCAGGAAAACAACTGTATTAGATGTAATGAGACGTTTGTTGCAACCAAAGAATATGATGGTGTCAACAGCACATGACAAAAATGCAAATCATTGTTACATCAGTATATTAAACATTATTCAAGGAGAAGTTGATCCTACACAGGTTTAATAATATATGTATTCCACTTTTTCTTTTTAACTCCTGTAATATGTGATTAACAGTTATGTTTTGTAGGTTCATAAAAGTTTACAAAGAATACGTGAACGGAAATTAGCTCAATTTATTCCTTGGGGTCCAGCAAGTATTCAAGTTGCATTATCAAAGAAATCTCCATACATTCAAACAGCACATCGAGTCAGTGGCTTAATGCTGGCTAATCATACAAGTATTTCTTCGGTAAATTTTTTGCATCATTTAATTAACTAATGTGAATCTGTTTCTTTATAATTCTCTAACCGATAGAAAAATAATAATAATGTAATTATAAGAAAAGTAACTAATAATAATAATAATAATTTTTAGTTATTTGAAAGAACATTACGTCAATATGATAAATTAAGAAAACGAGAAGCATTTTTGGANAAATACAACACCAAATTATTACAACCTCATGTTGGCTAAAAATCTTGATTTTCATTTTATGTTATTATGAATTAAACAATGGGTATTATGATAAATAAAAAATAGTAATGACAAACAATTTTATTAAAAAAGGAAGGGTAAATTAACAATAATTGTGTATAAATAAAATAAAAGTAGCTGACATAATGCATGATATAAACAGTTGCATATGTCAAAGTAAGGATAAAATTATGTATTTGGTGGCAATAGTCTATTTTTGAAGAGGTAAGAAAGTATGAATAAGACTTTGCACTTATAGAGATTCATTTCTAAAGGATCTTATTGCAGTTTAATGAATAGTGACATGTAAGATGATATGTATTCCATAAAATGACAATTAAATTAATTAATAATGAAAAGTTATTTTAATATGGTGTTATAAAATAGCTGATGATTTTACTTAATACAGTGCTTAGATCAAAGTGACCACAGTTTGTATTTTTGAAAAATTTTGTAAAATTGAAAGAAATTAATTNAACAACTGTATTAGATGTAATGAGACGTTTGTTGCAACCAAAGAATATGATGGTGTCAACAGCACATGACAAAAATGCAAATCATTGTTACATCAGTATATTAAACATTATTCAAGGAGAAGTTGATCCTACACAGGTTTAATAATATATGTATTCCACTTTTTCTTTTTAACTCCTGTAATATGTGATTAACAGTTATGTTTTGTAGGTTCATAAAAGTTTACAAAGAATACGTGAACGGAAATTAGCTCAATTTATTCCTTGGGGTCCAGCAAGTATTCAAGTTGCATTATCAAAGAAATCTCCATACATTCAAACAGCACATCGAGTCAGTGGCTTAATGCTGGCTAATCATACAAGTATTTCTTCGGTAAATTTTTTGCATCATTTAATTAACTAATGTGAATCTGTTTCTTTATAATTCTCTAACCGATAGAAAAATAATAATAATGTAATTATAAGAAAAGTAACTAATAATAATAATAATAATAATAGGCAATATATTATCTTAAGATATAAAATAAAATCCCGCGACAAAAACTGAGGCAATAAAGCTGAATAATTGTTATTTTGAACTTTTTCCAAGTCTTAAAAGTTGGAAAACGATTGGAAATTAATACTTGGTAGCATTCAATTGTGAGCAGTCTTGCAATCACTATTTTATCTAATCATAAAAGCAATTCAGTCATAGAATGATGTTTACAAATAATAATTCCTAATCTCTTGAATTATTTGCTTCTATATTATGTTATATTTTTATTTATAATTTTATATTTTTATATTGACTAAATAATAATTTATGGGCCAAATGAATAATAATAATGTATACTGTTAATGTAAATAATAATTTATATTTTTAATTTCATTGAAAGACTGCAAGTGTCAGGAAAACAACTGTATTAGATGTAATGAGACGTTTGTTGCAACCAAAGAATATGATGGTGTCAACAGCACATGACAAAAATGCAAATCATTGTTACATCAGTATATTAAACATTATTCAAGGAGAAGTTGATCCTACACAGGTTTAATAATATATGTATTCCACTTTTTCTTTTTAACTCCTGTAATATGTGATTAACAGTTATGTTTTGTAGGTTCATAAAAGTTTACAAAGAATACGTGAACGGAAATTAGCTCAATTTATTCCTTGGGGTCCAGCAAGTATTCAAGTTGCATTATCAAAGAAATCTCCATACATTCAAACAGCACATCGAGTCAGTGGCTTAATGCTGGCTAATCATACAAGTATTTCTTCGGTAAATTTTTTGCATCATTTAATTAACTAATGTGAATCTGTTTCTTTATAATTCTCTAACCGATAGAAAAATAATAATAATGTAATTATAAGAAAAGTAACTAATAATAATAATAATAATTTTTAGTTATTTGAAAGAACATTACGTCAATATGATAAATTAAGAAAACGAGAAGCATTTTTGGAACAGTTTCGTAAGGAGGCAATGTTCAAGGATAATTTAGAAGAATTGGACTCTTCTCGAGAAATAGTTCAACAGTTAGTTGATGAATATACAGCAGCCACACAACCAGACTACTTAACTTGGGGAATGCAACAGGTGATAATTTAAACAGATTTTAAATTATCTAGAAAATAATTGTAATATAATTCTCATTAATTCACACATTAACACTTCTACTGTAACATCTTGTATATGAATGTAAAGCAAAAGCTCAAAAAAATGTGCTAATGGCATGCTTACATACTAAGATTTGTTGTTAGTATTGTGTGGGCAAAATTAACATATCATTACTAAAGATCAAATGTCAAAAGAATTACTGTATGCAATATAAAAAATTCTATTTAGTAAAGTTTGTATATGTACAATTCAATAACTTTAGAAAATCTTTGTAAAATAAAAAAGATACTTTATCAAACCAAAACAAACACGCACAAAACCTTCCTGACANACTAATGTGAATCTGTTTCTTTATAATTCTCTAACCGATAGAAAAATAATAATAATGTAATTATAAGAAAAGTAACTAATAATAATAATAATAATTTTTAGTTATTTGAAAGAACATTACGTCAATATGATAAATTAAGAAAACGAGAAGCATTTTTGGAACAGTTTCGTAAGGAGGCAATGTTCAAAGATAATTTAGAAGAATTGGACTCTTCTCGAGAAATAGTTCAACAGTTAGTTGATGAATATACAGCAGCCACACAACCAGACTACTTAACTTGGGGAATGCAACAGGTGATAATTTAAACAGATTTTAAATTATCTAGAAAATAATTGTAATATAATTCTCATTAATTCACACATTAACACTTCTACTGTAACATCTTGTATATGAATGTAAAGCAAAAGCTCAAAAAAATGTGCTAATGGCATGCTTACATACTAAGATTTGTTGTTAGTATTGTGTGGGCAAAATTAACATATCATTACTAAAGATCAAATGTCAAAAGAATTACTGTATGCAATATAAAAAATTCTATTTAGTAAAGTTTGTATATGTACAATTCAATAACTTTAGAAAATCTTTGTAAAATAAAAAAGATACTTTATCAAACCAAAACAAACACGCACAAAACCTTCCTGACAATTTGGGAAGTTAATTCAAATTAGAACTATTTTAATTCTATCTCCACACAACTGACAAGAAAGATAGGAATCAATTCTATTAAAAAAAAATAATACAATGAATCTTACAAATTTCACTATGCATCACCAAAACTCTGTTACCAGACCTGGAACTGGAACTTGGAAACCTTTCATCAATCACTCAATTCTTAGCACGACCTCATTCAAATCTAAGTTTCACCTTGTCTAGTTGTCTCTTCATCTCCTTTTTTTTATGTGGCAGGTGTGGTAACATTACAATGTATCAAACCACTTATCCTATTTACATATTTACACAAAGACATTTTATTTGATCTAGTAGTTGGTTTTTTACTTATGTCATCTCCCTCACAATTTTATAATACTTTTTTTGTGTTGTCTAGTAATAATTTGGGATTGGGAGATTATTCTGTTAATTTTCCATGGAAATCTCTCACTCTTGAGATGTCGTTTTGGGATGATGATGTCATTTTTTCTGTCTGTAGTCATTGTAAGGTGAGTTTTAACCTGTAGAATTTTATCTGGGATGGTGCAGTAGTCTATCCTTAATGAAATAAAATGCTCCAAAATAAATAGAATAATGAACTAAAAATAATCTTCAAATAAAATAGAATGGTTTGGAATTGACTCCTTACACTAGTTCCCAGCAACACTTTAATTGAACAAATTGTGTGAATTATTGATATATTTTCCAGTTTTGCTATTATACATTATAATTCTCATAACAGCTATTTTGAATTATTTATCATATTTTTAATGTTTGTTCTGAGAAAAAGACTTGTACAAAATAATAAAATTAATATGATTTGGCAGTTTGAATTTTAAAGACTTGAACAAATTTTGATTTTTATAAAACCTTTCTAAGTTGAATTATGGTTACTCGAATCTTGATAGGTCCCAAGAACAGTACATAGGGTTTTCCATATAACATGGTCTCAGTAAGTCGAAATTGTCAGTACTTTTAACTTGAACCTATTTTTCCATATACCCTTCACTTGTCAATATTCTCTTATATTCCATGTGAATACAAATGATAAACAATTACCATGGCTCTGTGCCAAATACAACACCAAATTATTACAACCTCATGTTGGCATCTTTTTACTAATACAGTAATACCTCGACTTACGCTACCCTGACTTACGCGAACCCAGAATTATGCGATTTTCAAATCTCGTCGATTCATCTTTTGTTTGAGCGCCACGCAACTCTTTATTACTCACTCCCCCCACACTATTGTTCAACTTACATGTTCAGACGTGTCGTGCGGAATCGACACATAGCTACAATTTATTTTGTGTTATTTATTTCTGTGTTTGTTATATCTATGGAGACTTGAGAGATTCTATGTGGTGATTTCTTGTAACCGTGAATGAATCAAAAGACGAGATAAGATTAACGAGAACATTTGTTAGCTTACATACATCCGACTTGGATTTTACACAAATTGCGAAATTATACCCCGACTTATGCGAATTCGACTTACGCTGTTATCGTTTGGTCCCACTTATCGCGTAAGTTCAGGGTATTACTGTACAATATGTTACTGGCATTCTGATTAGACACAAGGTTGTCTTGAAAACGCACTCAAAACCACTATAAATGATATACAATTTTGTAATCATTTTGTGAACAGATTCTTGATAAACTGCTAGATAATGGAAAATTTTTAAAAATCTGTAATTAAACTCATTAAGTCAAAGTCAGGATTCTATATCCCTTAAACTTCAACTTTACTTATAAAGATAAAGTTATCTTTATAAGCAGAGTTGAAGTTTAAGGGATATAGAATCCTGACTTTGACTTAATGAGTTTAATAAAAATAACTGTATCTTAAATGCTTAATTAAATCTGTATAACTGCTTATAAAGATAACTTTATCTTTCTGTATAACTGCTTATAAAGATAACTTTATTTTTATAAGCAGTTATACAGATTTAATTAAGCAATTAAGATACAGTTATTTTTATAAGCAGAAGTGATAGCTGTCAGATACAGGAAAGCCTTGCTTATGTGACTTTGATATGTGTGATAATCACTACACACAGTTGAACAAAATAATACTGTATTCTGCTTTAAGTGAGTAATTACTTAGTTAATGTGAGTTTTTTTACAATAGCTGAAATTTTTTTTTTCAATCTGAAGGGGAAAATGTAAACTATGGAAAGCTTGAAAGGGCAAGTAATGTGTGCATTACAGGAGTGTGAACAAGAAAAGAATGGTACAATTAAGAGATTAAATGCAAGAAAGTTTCAACTGGCATGATGTGAACTGATCACTTCATTTGTACCAAGGAGATTTTGTTTGATGGAAATCCTAATATAGAAAGAAGCACAGAAATACAGAGAAATCTTGACAAAGTGATTGGCACCTATCGAAAATTGTAAAAGGAAGTGAAAAAGGTTAATGCTGTTCAAACATTACCATTTAAATATTTTGCAAAATAGTAGCTAAATAAAGTATATAAACATCTTAAAGCCTGATGTTTTTAATAATAAATCAAATGATCACTATAATGAATCGGGCTACATTACTGCTACTATTAATACCATGGATGGTTATATCTAAAATTAAATATGTCTGGAAGTAAAGGATGGAGATCTGGATTGGATGGAGGTCTGGGTAGCTTAAATAAATCATATTTATGCAATTATTTTTTTAATTATAATGTTTTTATCCTGTAATGTAGCTTAAATACAGTGGTGCCTTCTACTTTGAATTTAATTCATTCCAGGAGGCTATTTGAAGACTGAATCAATTTTTCCCATTAGAAATAATGGAAAGTGAATTAATATGTTCTCAGATCCTAAACAATACCCATTTTAATAAACAGCAAATACACATAATTTAAGGTAAAAATAACACAACTGAATATACTAAATACTAAACTAAAACATGAAAAATAAATAAAATTCATAAATACTGTATATTAAAACGAATTCATATACTGTACCTTAACAAGGAATGGTGATGTTCTGTTTCTTAAAATCATTATGCATCTGCTTTGTTTTCTCAGAAATAATCTTCACAGAGATATCATCAGCCAATTGCTTCTTATTTATCCACAGTAGGTGGAGTTTTTCCATCTCCTCAGTGATAAGCAATCTTCTGGAAGTCAACACTGTCATACTTCAGCCATATCAGCTGCTTTTATTGCTTCCTTGTTCTTATGAATGGTGCACACATTAACTTCAAGATCTTAAACATGGCTACTAGATCTGCTACACATGTACAACTTTCATGTTTTGTGATAAGTTCCTTTTTCACCTTAGTCGTAGATTTTTTCTTAGGCTTCATTGCTTTCAAACACTTCTTGGAAATAGTATGGTTTATATATATAACCAAACTTACCAAAAATAAAGTGAAAAAAGCATTGAAAATACAGTAGTATAACACAAGATTCTTTTGCAGTGTGACTGAAAGATGACTTGATGAGTACTCAACAGACAGCATTTAAGAAGTACATTTTTTTACTGCTTGCACAATTTGAACATAGTAGCATTATTCAAATTTCAGGTTGATTTTGCTCAAAGTTAGCATTCAAAATAGAGTTGTTCAAAGTTTGAGGTATCACTGTAAAGGCTACATATATACTGATGGAATAATTGTATTAATCAAATTACAAATTTTATTATATTTGGTTTATTATTATATTTGGTTTTATATTTTTGGTTTATTATATTTGGTTAGCACATTTTCACTTAATGTCCATTAATTGCTGGATTCATTAATAGCATTAAATGAGGTTTTCCTGTACATTCTTTGTTTTTTTTTTTAAATCATGTTGGGAATTAATGTCCAAGTTCTTTATAAACTGAAATCAAATTTCATAGCAAACTTATTTGATTAAATATGATTTTTCTAAATTTTTAAACTTTAAAACTTTTTGGCAGCTAGTAGCCTAGAAAGGAAGGTCAGTCGCCAGAAATGTATTGTCTAGAACGCAAAAAATAAAAAATGGTGATCCCTACTTGGGCGAACTTGTCTTCAAGTATTAAAAAATGATTTTTCTATTTAAATTTTTTAAACCAGATTTTGTTATTTGAGTATAGGCACTTCATGACAAAATAAAATTACAGGTGATTCTGAAACGTTGTTGCAAAATAATTTCTGTTTTACTTTACAGTTTTTTTAAGAGCATTTCTAGAAGTGCTACCTATGTGTTCATATGCAATGTGCTATATGTGCAATACTGAAATTTGATTGATATTTGAAACAATAGATTATATTCAACTCCATGTATTTATATTAAATCAAAATGAAAATAAACATCAAT